AACCTCTGCCATGTGCAGTGCCCCAGGGGTGGGGACCCAGGAAATTTTTGGATCTCTGCAGCAGAGCTATGATGCCTGGCTCCAAAGTAAGGAGTCAGGAAGCAATGAGAAATTCTGGTCAGAGTTTCCTGACAGGAGCCTAGAAGTCATCAGAGCCACGGCTGAACTGGGGCCTCAAAGCTTGGGATTGTTAGGTGCCTAGATTCTGCTTCCTTTCACAGTTTAAAAAAATCCAAGAGTTCTAGACTCCCCCTTCCGTGGGAAATTACAAATTATACATGTCACTCCAAGCCAGAACTAATTTTTTTTCCAAAGTTGTGGAATATTCCTCAGTCAATTCCTACTACGTATCAATAGATGGCACTAGAGACCTATTACCCTTTTTAACAACCACATTTATAAGTATGGTTTCTGAAGCAATTCCACTAAAGATTGTAGATTGTTAAGTAGAAGTGCAAGTCATATGATATCTTAAATCTATAGTTAGTTGTTATTTATCCTGAACATTGGTAATACACTCACTCAAAATAAATCCATTAAGAAAATTCATTTTCAGGACTCTTTCTGGATGAGGAAGATAACCTAGTGATATATGATGTGGGAAAAGCTGAAGTACTCAATGCTTTATTTCCCTCTATGTTCACAGATAAGGTCAGCTCCCAGACTACTGCACCAGGCAACACAGTATGGGAAGGAGGAGGGCAGCCCTCGGTGAAGAAAGAACAGGTTAAGAAATATTTGGAAAAGCCAGACATACACAAATCCATGGGTCCGGATTTAATGCATCCGAGAATACTGAGGGAGTTGGCAAATGTCATTGCAGAGCCTTTGGCCATTATCTTTGAAAAGTCATGGAGATTGGGAGAGATCCCAAATGACTGGAAAAAGGCAAATGTAGTGTTCATCTTTTAAAAAAAAGTTAGAAGGACAATCCAGGGAACTACAGACCAGTCAGCCTTACCTCAGTCCCTGGAAAAATCATGGAGGGGATCCTCAAGGAATCCATTTTGAAGCACTTGGAAGAGAGGAAAGTGATCAGGAATAGTCAACATGGATTCACCAAAGACAAGTCATGCCTGACCAATCCAATTACCTTGTATGATGAGATAATTGTCTCTGTAGATATGGTGAAAGCGTTGGACATGATGTACCTTGATTTTAGCAAAGCTTTTGATACAGTCTCCCTCAGTTTTCTTATCAGCAAGTTAAAGAAGTATGGATTGGATGAATGGTGATAGAAGGCTGGCTAGTTCAGTTGGGTAGTGATCAATGGCTCCATGTCTAGTTCACAGCTGGCAAAGCTATCAAAAATGGTCTCCATGTTGCCCTAAGTGATTCAACATCTGGATGAGGGGATAGATTGCACCCTCAGCAAGTTTGAAGATGACACTAAGATAGGGGGAAAGGTAGATACGTTGGAGGGCAGAGATAGGGTCCAGAGTGACCTAGACAGATTAGACCTAGACAGATTAGAAGATTGGGCCAAAAGAAATCTGATGAGGTTCGACAAGGACAAGTGTAGAGTCCTGTACATGGGATGGAGGAATCCCAAGCATTGTTACAGGCTGGGGAATGAATGGCTAAGTAGCAGTTCGGCAGAAAAGGACCTGGGGATTATAGTCGATGAAAAGCTGTATGAGAGTCAACAATGTGCCCTTGTACCCAAGAAGGTGAATGGAATATTAGGTTGCATTAGGAGGAGCATTGCCAGCAGATCTAGAGAAGTGATTATTACCCTTTATTCGGCACTGGTGAGGCCACATCTGGAGTACTGCGTCCTGTTCTGGGCCCCCCACTACAGAAAAGATATGGATGCACTGGAAAAGGTCCAGGGAAGGGCAACCAAAATGATTAGAGGGCTGGAGCACATGACCTATGAGGAGAAGCTGAGAGATTTGGGCTTATTTAGTCTGCAGATGAGAAGAGTGAGGGGGGATTTGATAGCAGCCTTCAACTTCCAAAGAGGTTCCAAAGAGGATGAAGAGAGGCTGTTCTCAGTACAGACAGATTGCAGAACAAGGAGTAATGGTCTCAAGTTACAGTGGGGAAGTCTAGGTTGGATATTAGGAAAAACTATTTCAGTAAGAGGGTGGTGAAGCACTGGAATGGGTTACCTAGGGAGGTGATGGAATCTCCATTCCTAGAGGTTTTTAAGTCTTGGCTTGACAAAGCCCTGGCGGGTTGATTTAGTTGGGATTGGTCCTGCCTTGGGTGGGAGCTGGACTTGACTCCCTGAGGTCTCTTCCAGCCTTATGAGTCTATGAAATCTGACATGTAATTTACTGTCGTGTTCAATTTAATTTTTTTTAAAAGAACCACATGAACTCTCTGAAATATATGAACATAAATTCTTTCAGAACATTAATTGAAGGTATAATTGTAACATACTTTCTCTTGGGACACAAACTTGGTAATCAAGCTATTTACAAGCTCCAATTAACTAACTCTCAGTATCTAACTATAAAAGATTGCATAAGGAGAGAATGTTAGAAAAAACATCTAAAATGCTATTCTGATACATCTGACCAGACACAATTATATGAAAATATCATTATGAGCAACAGAAGTCCGGTAAAACATTCAATGCAACTAATGTGAAATTAATCACTTTAAAAATCAGTTATTTTAAGATAGTTGTGCAGTAGTTATAAACATTCCCTAAGGTGTGCTGGCCACAGCTGAAATGGAATACATGAATAAAAGTGCTTCAGATGCTACAGAGGATAGTAAGCAAAGACGCGTTAATTTCACAACCATACAAGCAAGTAAAAGTTGCTAAACAGAAAGGCTGTGTCTAGACTGGCCAGTTTTTCCGGAAAATCAGCCGCTTTTCTGGAAAAACTTGCCAGCTGTCTACACTGGCCGCTTGAATTTCCACAAAAGCACTGACTTCCTACTGTAAGAAATCAGTGCTTCTTGCGGAAATACTATGCTGCTCCCGTTCAGGCAAAAGTCCTTTTGCGCAAAACTTTTGCGCAAAAGGGCCAGTGTAGACAGCTCAGATTTGTTTTCCGCAAAAAAGCCCTGATCGCGAAAACGGCGATCGGGGCTTTTTTGAGGAAAAGAACGTCTATATTGGCACGGACGCTTTTCCGCAAAAAGTGCTTTTGCGGAAAAGCATCCGTGCCAATCTAGACGCTCTTTTCCAAAAATGCTTTTAATGGAAAACTTTTCCGTTAAAAGCATTTCTGGAAAATCATGCCAGTCTAGACGTAGCCAAAGTGACAAAAATGATTGGGAACAACAGTGTTTTGGAACTTTTAGAAGTCTGTAAACTAGCTAGTAGAAAGTAAAAGATAGGCAATGAAAGATTTGTATGGTAAATTCATAAATTTTTAAGATCTTAAAAACTATTTCAGTGTTTAAGGGCTGATCTTTCTAGTTTATTAGTAAGAAATACATAGTACAAATGTCTTAGACTTGGTCAGCTTGGAAAAGAGATGGCTAAAGGAGGAGATGACAGAGGGTCTATCAAATCTCAATTGCTATGGTGAAAGTGAGCGAGGAAGCATTATTTGATCCTTCACATAATAACTAAAGCTCACCCAATGAAATTAATAATCACACAGGTTTAAAACAAACAAAAGGAAGTACTTCTACACACAACATGCTACCAACTTGTAGAATTATTTGCCAGGGATGCTGTGAAGGCCAACATTTTAACAGGGTTCAAAAGAAAGCTAGATACGTTCACTGAGGATAGGTCCACCAATGGCCTTTAGTTAGGATGTCCCTACTCTCTGTTTGCCAGAAGCTGGAGTTGGACGACATGCAATGGATCACTTGATGATTACTTGTTCTGTTCAGTTCCTCTGAAGCAGCTGGCACTGGCCACTGTTAAAGGACAGGATACTAGGCTAGTTGGACCATTGGTATGACCCAGTGTGGCCATTCTTATTTAAATTTCAACATGTGCTTAACTTTCCACATGTGTAGACTTTTCAGGATTAGGTGCTTACAGAACATCTCTCTCCAGAGGAGCTATTTGTTTACCAGTTGCTCCAAACACAGCAGCAAACAGCATGAATTAACTGGAAGTGGATTAGAAGAGGCAGATTTCATTAAGAAAATATAGCAGCAGAGGAAGATATCCTGACTTAGCTTATCATGTGAAACTGTCAAATATGAAGTCTTAGCGCACATGCATATAGAAATAGAAGTCTGTCTATATTAGACTGACTTATAGTCACAGTAGCAATCAGTGCAGTGATTCATATCCACATTACCCTCCTTTTGTCAATAGTGCACAATCTCTCCAAGATTAATTCTGCTGACTTATGGGGTAGTGTGGAGTACTGATAGCTTGGGCTGTTGGCTCCCCACCAGACTGCCCGAGTTCCCCACAGGGAGCCCTGGTGCTGCCATAAGGCTTTCTGCAGGGAGCCCAGACTTAGGACACAGAGTTCCCTGCTGGGAGCCCAGCTGCAGTGGAGCACAAAGAGCCTGGAGGTGTGCCTGGCAACAAGGAACCAAGAGTATCCACAAAGTTCCAGCACTTCCCAAAGGGAGTGGGAAACTGGGATTATTCATGCAGCACAAGGGCTCCCTGCAACTGTGACAGCCCAGCTTTCTTGATAAGAATGACAGCTAACAGCCAGTATAAGTACAGTGTTATAACCGTAGCAGGCAACCTGCAGCTCATTGGGGTTCTATGTGAGGCCCATGAGATATTTTGTTCACTGTTGCTCTTGAACAGCATTGCCAGATTCCACTGGTTTCAATCTGCACAGATTTTTCCAAGCAAGGGCACATGAAGTGAGGTGCGTGCTGATTGAACTATAGCAGCACTCTGGATGCAGATGGAGCACACAGTTCTCACAATGTTGTGTGCAATTGGCACACCTCAAAAACTCTAGGTACAGAAGTGGTTGGCAAAACTACCCTATTCCAGGAGACCATCTTTATTATGACGACAATTTTGTGGCCCACTGAGATAGTGTGTGAACTCAGGCGGTGCACTTGCTACCTTAGGTTGCCGCTCCCTGGTCTATAAGGACACTATGTCGCTTTACATCAATAAAAGCCCTGTGCCTCTTCGAGTTATGTCGATGTTGAAGAGTACTCAAAATGGTTGTGCTAAGCTGCCTAACATTTACCTAATTCTGTAGTTTAGACTAGGGATGTAAAATCTTTAAACATGGTGTTTAACCAATTAACTGATTAAAAGGAGGGCAGCTGGAGCACCCTATCTGCTGTGGGTAGGGGCTGCTTCAGTCTGGCCACAGCCATCAGCTTGCTTGGAGGGCTGCCAGCCCTGCCCCATGGGAGGCTGTCAGCCAGCAGGCTGGAATGGCCCTCTGCTCATGGTTACCTGGTAGGCATCACCTGTTAAGCAGTTAACCAGTTATCCATTCACATCCCTACACCGAATTTCACTTAACATTTTGTTGCCCTATCATAGAGTTTGGGAGATCCTTTAGTAACTCTTTGCAGTCTGCTTTGTACTATACTTTGGATTAGCTACAGAAATTTTGTATCACCTGCAAATTTTGCCACCAGTTTACCTCTTTTTCCTGACTATTTATGACTGCAGAACGCCAATAGTCCCAGTACAGACTCCTGGAGGACACTCCCTCTCTCCATTCTGAGAACGAACCATGTATTCTTCCCCTTTGTTTCAACCAATCTGCCTAGCAGGCTGTTCCCAGGCCTGTGCTGGAGCGCAAATGGCTTACTAAGCTGGGCTCAAAACGGAGGCACCGGGTTTACAGCCATGCTCAGGCCTCCGCCCAGCTTACAGCACCACACCACGAAAACACACCTGCGGGTGCCGGCCACAAGAGTGCGGCTCCACTCGCTCGGCTGCGGTGACTTGCAGAACTGAGGCCGCATCTCAACTAGCAAACGCTGCAGGTCATCGGAGTCCCACCGGGAGAGGATTTCGCTCGGCACCGCTTTATCCTGCGCCCCCCCCGTTGCCAGGCCGCGCCCAGCTTACAGCACCACACCACGAAAACACACCTGCGGGTGCCGGCCACAAGAGTGCGGCTCCACTCGCTCGGCTGCGGTGACTTGCAGAACTGAGGCCGCATCTCAACTAGCAAACGCTGCAGGTCATCGGAGTCCCACCGGGAGAGGATTTCGCTCGGCACCGCTTTATCCTGCGCCCCCCCCGTTGCCAGGCCGCCCGTGCCCGCAAGGCCCATGCACAGCCCGGCACGGAAGCAGAGGGAGCCCTGGAGAACACGCAGCGAGCACCGGCACCCGGCGCCGCAGGCAGGTCGCGCAGGGGCCAGCGCTCGGCG